AGGGGTCCTGGCTGGCAAGGGAGGGCAGTTGGGGGTGATGAGGCCTTCAGGGGAGGGCAGTTGAGGGTGACCACGCTGGCAGGGGAGGGCAGTTAGAGGCAATTGGGCTGGCAAGGGAGCAGTTACGCATCAATCAGGCTGGCAGGGGAGTGGTTAGGGGCAATCAGTGAGGCGAGCAGTTGGGAAACAGCAGTCCTGGGTAATGAGAGGATTGCCAGATTTGAGAGGGTGCAGGATGGGTTGAGGGACACTCCCCCATGCACGAATTTTGTGCACCGGGCCTCTAGTTAGATAATATTAGAAAATTATCAACTTTAATAGATATGATAATAATGCTTAATGTACTATATAATAATGTCCTTATTCTTAGGAGATGCATGCTGAAACATTTAGAAGTGATATGTCGCAACTAACTTTCAAATGGTTCTGGTAAAAACAAAGACAGACAGAAAACAAATCTGGCCAAGTGTTAACAAATGGTGAAGCTAAGGACGTACAGATGTTCATTGTGCTATTTCAGTTTTTCTGAGGCTTGAAATGTTCAACATAAAAAGTTGGGAGAATAATGGAAAGGCTTATTTTCAGAGCGTGAAAAGAGTATCAGACTCTTCAAATCTCATTGGAGGAGATGGCCAGAAAGGGACCATTAGAGGCAAGTGATGATAAGAATGTGAAAAAGTAAAATTCTTTCAACTATAAATTTTAAGTACTTATTGTAGCTTTAAATTGCTACTCTTTTAAAAAGTTATATTTTATAATTATTTTTCTTTAAAGATGTTTGCTATTTTTAGTGTGTGTTTTTTTATTGTCTAAAGTTTTACATATGTCTTCTTTTTCCCTGGTTGACCTCCCCCTCAAGCCATTCCCACCCCAGGCAAGTCCCCACGTCTCAGTGCCTGTGTCCATTGGATATGCTAATGTGCGTGCATACAAGTCTTTTGGTTGCTCTCAACACTCCCCTCCCCTATCATTTGTCTCGGATCTATCAAATTATGTTGATCATTATATCCCACATATAAGTGAGATCATGTGATATTTATCTTTCTCCAACTGGCTTGTTTTGCTTAACATAATGCTCTCTAGTTTCATTCATGCTGCTGCAAATGGTAAAAGTTCCTTCTTTTTTTATAGCGGCATAGTATTCCATGGTGTAGATGTATATTTTTTAGTGGTTTTTATTATAATTCAAAGGTCCCATATATTCCCCTGTAGTAGAGGGAAAATTAATGGGAATCATTGGACAAAATATAATAGAATATATTCATAATACTAAAGAATGGATTAGCATGCTTTGTAGCTAGCATAATACTAAAGAACCTAGTAGGGGGAAAACAAAATGTAATATTACTCTGGATATTGCTCACGTTGTTGAAGATTGGGACATATTTAGATGGGTTTTTGAAACTTTATTTCTCAACTCTAGTGTTTCCCCTTTTGTGCTTTTAACTAGATGAATCATAATTGCCTCTTAGAGTTGCCTAGCTGTCATATCTGCTTAGTTTACAAGCTGAGAACCTCCAGGCTGATGTCATATCAGTATTTAGGACATATTTGTATCACTCTATTAAATACGGCAAAGGAGAGGTTCCCATTAATCTGACCTTTTAACCTGTTTCCTGCTTTTAAGCAAACATTTATATTAATACGTTCCATCAGTCATTCTGTTACGCCTCTGCCCTGCGTTTTCCTAAACTGAGACCCGGAGGGAATTGTGGGGAACATTTCGTCAGAGCTGTCACTTTCTTCCTCCTGTTCTTGAAGTGCTCCCTGGCTTCCCTCCCGCAGGCCTCTCTTGAAAGCAGGATTTTGCAACCTTAGTTCTCTTAATGTTTTGAGCAGGACAGTTCCTTGTTGCGGGGTCTGCCTGTGCATTGTAGGATGGTTAGTCTTTACCCACTGGATGTCAGTAGTACCCCCTCAGTTTTGACAGACAAAATCCTGAGACATCACCAAACGTCCCTGGGGAGTAGAATCACCCGTAGTTGAAAACTGTTTCAAATCAGTGTCTCCTAGTTGGGAGTGTGTCTCTGGTCAGCAGGAAGCGGTTTGAAAACCTCTGGCCCTGGGCCCCTCTCCCAGAGGTGCTGACAACCAGCATGTCCAGGTGTGTGTCTGTGAAACTTGGCTTTGTGTGCTGCTGCTCGTGTTCCTGCTGTGCCCTTGCAGGTGTTAGGCACTGTTAAGAGTCAGAGTCATTCTTCGGAACTTCCCCCTCTGGCAGAGCTCATCTCTGCCAGAATTAGACCTTCTTTCTCCCTCAAGCCTGCAGCTGATTTCACTCATTCCCCTTATACTTGATGCATAGCCAAGACTTTGTGTTTTATTTTTTCGAAGGGATATTATTTTATTGTCATACAAACTTTGTTTATCCTCATCCAGGGATACTTTTCCATTGATTTTTAGAGAGTGTGGAAGGGAAGGGGATAGACAGAGAGACATCAATGTGAGAGAGACACATTGGTTGGTTACTTACCACACACACCCTGACCATGGCTAGAGATTGAACCTACAACCAAGGTACGTGCCCTTGACCAGAATTTAACCCAGGGCCCTTCAGTCCTCAGGCCCACACTCTATCCACTGGGCCAAACTCTTACGTTTGAAGGCTGACTTTCACTAGATCACAGGGAGGGAGCTGCTCTGATAGTATGAAACCCTGACTTAGAGACAAGATTTTTGTTGTTTAACATCATATCCACTAGATGCCAGTAGTATCCCTCAAGTGTAACAATTAAAATGTCTCCAGACTGTCCTAAGGCCCTCCAGGGGTAGAATTGCACCTAGTTGAGAACCACTGACCTAATGGAAGTCAAAAGGAGGGCTTATTATCAATTTCACTAAATTATAAGTACCTTTCCATTAACTTTGGAACTGGTGTTAGACTGTCAGGGAAGAAGGCCTGCCTGGTGTTGCTCAGTGGTTGAGCACTGACCCATGAACCAGGAGGTCATGGTTCCATTCATGGTCAGGGCACATGCCCGGGTTGCAGGCTCCATCCCCAGTAGAGGGCATGCAGGAGGCAGCCTATCAGTGATTCTTTCTTATCATTGATGTTTCTCTCTCCCTCTTCCTTGCTCTCAGAAATCAATGAAAACATTTTTTAAAAAGAATATCAGGGAAGGATGAGCAGATTGCAGAAATATATTCAGTATCGTAACATCATTGTATATTTGAATTTCAAAAAAAGAAACTATTGCTTTTGCGATTTCAACTGGGAGTTTAATAGATTTTTATGTGTATCAAAAATGGGCGGAGATTTACAAAAGTTGTAAAGCAGCCATCAGAAATAATGACAGTTGGTCCTCCTTTCAGCTTTACCAGCACTCTGTCCTAAGGATTCACCCATGTGATGTTCTCTTCTGCCTGGGGGATACCTACATGTGCCCCATCTCCTACACTTTAAAAAGCTTTACTGGATTTTTTTCCCCCTAGAATTCCCTCTGCTCTCTTTTCTGGTCTAATGAGCTTTAATGGAGTTTGACTAGGTATTATTGGGTAATTTATTTTTGTGTATTTAAATGAACATTATCCTGTTTGCTTCAGGCACTGCCAAACTTTTTCTTTTCTTTTTTTAAAAATATATTTCATTGATTTTTTTTTACAGAGAGGAAGAGAGAGGGATAGAGAGTTAGAAACATCGATGAGAGAGTCATCGACCAGCTGCCTCTTGCACACCCCCTACTGGGGATGGGCCTACAATCAAGGTACATGCCCTAGACCGGAATCGAACCTGGGACCTTTCAGTCCGCAGACCGACGACGCTCTATCCACTGAGCCAAACTTTTTCCAAAGCAATTGGATCATTCCCAGCAGTGCACAGGGTTCCAGTTGTTCAACATCTTTACCAACACTTGTTATCTGACTTTTTTTAATGTAGCCATTCCAGTAGATGAGGAGTAATATCTTATTGTGCTTTTATTTTTATTTTTTTAATATATTTTATTGATTTTTCACAGAGAGGAAGGAAGAGGGATAGAGAGCTAGAAACATCGATGAGAGAGATACATCGACCAGCCGCCTCCTGCACATCCCCTACTGGGGTTGTGCCCGCAACCAAGGTACATGCCCTTCACCGGAAACGAACCTGGGACCCTTCAGTCTGCAGGCCGCTGCTCTATCCACTGAGCCAAACTGGTTTCGGCTTGCACAGATTATTTTACAGATTATTTTAGCCAGGCCACCCTGACAGTCCAGGAGCCTCGCTTGTTGTTTTCGGATTGTTGCCACAGCCAGTCTGCAAGAGCACGCGCTTCTGTATGTAGACTCTGCCACTGTCCCAGAGCTGGCCCCCTCCCCCTTTCCCACCCCTTTGCTAAGTTAATGTAAGCTTCTTCCAGACCACCTCTTCTTCCCGTCCCCCTGCTTAATAAAAACGCTTGCAGAACGCTGGGACAAGCCGTGTGCTGTCTCTTCCACCCAGTTATGCTGCTGGGGGTTTAAACTCCATGCCCCAAGACTGGTCTTCTTTTAGCTGGCCTTTTTGTCTTAATAAAAGTCACTTACAAAAAGACTTTCAGCCTTGGAAGTTAATTTGTTTGTTTGTTTGTTTCACTGGTCTATCTGGTATTAATGGAAAGAAATAATTGATAACAACATTCTCCACATTCCATTTCTTTTTATTTTAGTAGATTACCACCAGCAGATCTTTTGTGAAGGGTTTTAGAAGTCATTTTGGACAGCACTGATGTTTCAGAGTCCACCTCGGGATTTATTGTGCTACTAGGCCAGTGCTCCTCAAAGTATTTTGTTTGTAAACCATTTGTTACCAGCCTACATTTGAGCCATACAAAAAAACTTGCTTAACAGCTTGACCTTGTCTCATATAGTCATTGTACAGTATTGGCCTGCAGTGGACTGGGAAAAGCACAGAACCAGTTCTTTCCCACGGACAGTCAAAAAACAGTTCTAAAGCAAGCAGCTTGGAGGAAAGAGAACTTTAAAGAAACCATCTTTCTCTTTACATTTATTTTCTCTCCCTTAGGGATTTTGCATTGGAAGACATGGATCTTGCTGCCAATGAGATCAGCATTTATGACAAACTTTCAGAGACTGTTGATTTGGTGAGACAGACAGGCCATCAATGCGGCATGTCAGAGAAGGCAATTGAAAAATTTATCAGACAGCTGCTGGAAAAGAATGAACCTCAGAGGGGGCCCCACCAGTATCCTCTCCTTATAGCTGTGTATAAGGTAAAAATGGGTTCTGACTTGGCAATACCTACATGGAGCACAAAAGCCTTCAACTTTCTCTGACTGATTACACTGTCGAACCTTGGCCTTCGCTCTTGTTAACGTGTTAGGAGGAAATTTGAGTATTTTGTTAACTGTCTTAAATGAAAGCTGTGTATTTATATTTAAATTATATCGTGTATTTTTAGTGGTGGACATACCCCTGGTTATATGATAGTAGCTTGGTGAGCCATGCAGTCCTCTTGGTTCTCAGACTTTAAGTGCTTTCAAAAGTGAATATAAATGGCTTATTTATGAAAATGGATTAGTCCTTAAAGCACTAATAGTAGATGAGGCCTGTTATTTTCTTGGTATTAAAGTATTTGCTGGGATAAGTACTAATAATTTCCCTGTCTTTCCTTGTAGGTTCTTGCAACCCTGGGATTAATCTTGCTTACTGCCTACTTTGTGATCCAACCTTTCAGCCCATTACAACCTGAACCAGTGCTTTCTGGAGCGTATACCTGGCGCTCACTCGTCCATCACATCCGGCTGATGTCCTTGCCCATTACCAAGAAATATATGCCAGAAAATAAAGGAGTTCCTCTGCATGGGGCTGATGAAGACAGATCCTTTCCAGGTAGATGCTGTGTTTACTACATATCAGATACAGCCTTCTTGACAATGTATGTTAGGAAAGGAAATAACATTTATTGACATCTCATGAAGGACACTTTTCCTGTATTGTCTCACTTAATTCAGTACGCACTAAAGTTCTATGGGATAGATTTTATTTTCTCCATTTTGCAGATTGAGAAACTAAGGCCCAGAGAGATTAAGAAACTTGCCTGGGCCCTGGATGGTTGCTCAGTGGTTAGAGCAAAGAGAGGGAGGGAGAGAGGATGAGAGAGAGAAACATCCATCAGTTGCCTCCTGCGCACACTCCAACTAGGGATCGAACCCACAACCTGGGCATGTGCCCTGATCAGAAATCAAACCCATAACCCTTCAGTGCATGGGACAACGCCCAACTAACTCACACTGGCCAGGGCAATAGTCATAATACCAGTCTTTAAGCAAGACCTAATAAGTCATAAAAATCATCCCTTGGCTTGGTCTCCTTAGAAATCTTTTGTTGTACACTTGAGGAAATCATGGAAAGATTTCTAAAATTATATCAAAATCAGAGGAAGGGAACATCATAAATCAAAACCTTGGGCTTGTGAGTTGTTTTTTTGTGTGTGTGTTTTTTTTTAATTAGCTCATATGTTTAGAGTTTTAAATTTCAAATATAACTTCCTGTATTTATTGGGAAGGTTGTTTTTGAAAAGTCATCAACAAAGCTCAAAAAACATGAAGTTTTTAACTCTGAGCAGGAAAGTCCAGAGCACATGAGGGAAAGCCAGCGGATCCCTTCAGTCAGGCCGATCTGTGCTGGTCCTCAGACACCCAGCTCCTCTCCTTTCTTCCCCTCCCCGGCCCTGAGGGGCATCTCTGCCCATGGGCACAGGAGACGAAGCCAGTGGATTTTAGGGCAAAGGTGATGGCAGTTACTGTCTTTCTCTCTGTCCTATAAAGTGAATCTCTGTAGACTGTTGAGTTAAGAATAATAGTAGACAATGATTGCTCATTTTCTAAATCAGAGTTATAAAATTAAAAAAAAAATGTTAAGAGTCTTGTCAACAAGCCTGATTTTTTTTGGTTCATTCCAAATAAATATTTTGCCTTGCAGATGGAAGTAAAATGAGTCCTTGGAGCTCAGTTATAAAAAGAGAGCGTTGGAAGGGTGTGGCTAGGTCTTGAAATGTTGTTGATTCTGTTCGAGGGCTGCTTTCACTTGTAACGTGGATGTTGACGCACCGTATTTTCCCATGTGTGATGATTCTGGGAAGCGGTAGACTTGTAAACTAACAGCGTTTGCTGAGCATCTGGAAGGAAACTTAAGAACGTGACGTTATATAAGGGGCAACTAGAAATATATTGGGGAGAATTAACTTGAGAAGACCCAAAGAGTAAAAATGTTAAATTGTCATCTGTAATGTCGTGCTACCAAAACACAATGCCTTTCGGTTTGGATTACTTAGGAGTCCCTCTAAAGTAAACGGAGGGAGAGTGCCGTGGAGAGGCCTGGAGAGCATTGCTTCCTTAAGGGCTGGCCTGTCAGCTTTCCCAGGGTCATCCGGTGCTCCTGTGAAGGACGGGGCAGCAGGAGCTGTGAGGAAAGTGGTCAGTGTCCTCCTGACACTGGTCGTTTTTCGTCTCGACTCCTCCTGGGAAATAGAAGGCAACAGAAATGAGGTTCTTTTTCTAGGTTTCAGCCTTGGGCAGGAAAGCCTGCCCCTAACTCCTCTTGAGGAGCATGCAGGGTCTGTGGTGAGCCATGTAAGCATCCCTTGTTGCAACAGGAAACAAACAAGAAGGCCAGATACCAGGCCCTGTTCAAAGGGCTTTCTATGTATTGGTTCATCTTCATGATAGTCCTATGAGATAGGTTCTGGTTTTATTCCTATTTAACAGATTAAGACACTGAGGTACTTGCCGAAGGTCCCAAGGTAGTTAGGTAATGGAACCCTAATTTGAATGCAGACAGCCCATCTTCAGAGTTTGAGCTCTTAACATCTGGTACAATAGTTTGTAGCTACACAGTACCCGAACAATAGAGTTTGATTTGGGAGTTCTACACTCTCCCTCAGCTCAGCGGATGCTTTCCTTCAGCCCCCAAGTCCCTAAAGAAAAGGTTCTTACAGGTACTACAAGTCCAAAGATAAGCAGTCCTCCAAGTTACTGGTCCTTTAGAATTTGTCTGAACCACTCTTTTCCTGGGCATCCAACCCAGCTCGTCCTTCTCCCTGTCTGCACCGTCATAGGGACTGTTTGACTTATTGTTTGGCTTAATCCTTTCACTTACTAACCCATGGTTTTCCCTTCCATTCTTAGTCCCCTTTATGTCCACTTTGACCCTGCCAGCAGCCATTCTCTTGGCTTTAACCCTTCCATGGAGTCACTGTCTTAGAGCCAAAAAGGAACTTTTAAACAAGGAACTGATCTAGTACATATCCCTGCTTTATAAAGAGGACATGGAGGCCAGAGAGGTGAAGTAACTTGTTACCCAGCTAAAAGTGGCAAACTAGCACTTGAACTCTGGTGTAGCATTCTTCCCGTCACACCATGCTCACTGCCAGTTGTATCCACCCCGTCAAGCCAGATGCCAGCATGCCAGGCCCAGGGATTTTGTTTCTGTTGGGCATTTACAGTCTTTAATTATGAACACCTGTTCATACTGAGGAGCAGGGAGGCTTCTCACACACGAGGAGAAAGTGCATCTCAGTGTCTGCACTGGTCCCGGAGCTGATGCGCGGGCCCTGTCAGGGAGGCTGACACGCCCAGGAGAGCGGGCATAGCAGATGGTGCGTTCACTCAGGACTGAGGACCTGCTCAGACCGAGTCCAGGCCAGTGCCCACGACGAAAGGCCTCAGGCCACGCCTTACTCTTTTTCAGATAAAAGAATAAAGCATTCCTTGAGGTGAGCATACCAGCTCCATCAAGCATTACTGTGTATCAGGCACTGGGCCATGTATTTTCTCAGTCTTCACAAGTCACAAAGAGTAGTTATTGTTTCTATGTTCTTCAAAGACAAGAAAACTGATGTGCCAATGGGAGTGACTAACTTACCTAAAATCTCACATTTAGAGACTTTTTTATACAAGGAGAACTCATGAAAATAGAGGAACTCTGTGGTTTGGAATGGTTCAAATGCATTGCTTTCTGTAGGCAAGGCGGTTAGCAGAATGATTTATTTGGTTCCTTCCATCCATGATGAAAATGGCTCTGGGTTCACTGCCACTCATGCAGGGAACCAGGCCCAGGGCGCCTTCAGCATCAGGTCTTCATTCTGCCCAGGATTGCAGAAGAGGTGCTTAGAAAAGGAGCTGCTGGAGAGTAGCCTGATTAAACACTGCGCATGCACCAGTGAAAGTCACAGGAACTTTGTTGTGGGCTTTGCAGGCTTTTCTTGAGTGCATTTGTAATAATAGAAATCTAGAAGCTATATCTATTTAATATTTATTTTGGGTTTTTCCAAATTCAGACTTGCTCATTTGATTTTTCTCCCTGTGGACTTAATTGTGAAAGCTTCTGAAAATTCAAGGTTTCATTCATTCATTCATTCATTCGTTCATTCAGTGAATGTGTATTGAGACCTCACTGTATGCCAGGCACCGTTCTCAGCAGAGCAGTGAAGAAAGCAAGACAGTCCTCCTGCTTTTGTGGAGCCAGCCTTGGCTCTGTGCCCTCCTTTCCTGTCCTTTTTACCCAGAGGGAACGAAGTCTCCCCTCCCCGCCCCCACCTCCCCCCCACACACATACACACACACTTAGGTTAATAATCCATGTAAAAGGACTCTCTCCACTCCGAATTCCAGGCCATGTTATGGTTATCCACAGCGAGGCAGCCTGAGTGTGTTTTCTTTATAAACAGCTCTCGGGCACCAGGACTCCTGGCTGGCCTTGGCCACCGCTTTTCCACACTTTTCTGCCCAACTTGCAGAGAAGGCAGGGAGGTTCCTGTTTCTGCCTTGCTTAACTCTGGGCCATGTTTTGTCTCAGAGACTGTTTCTGTGTCTCAACCTGAAATGATTCCAACTCATGATGTGAAGTTGGAATACAGGTCATGAGTTTTATTGAACTCTTATATGGCCATTTCACTTGTCTGTCATACCTTTATAAAATATAAAATAGCTATAGAAGGAGGCTGTCTGCAGTAAAGAAGCCTTGGAAATTAAAAGGAAGTTAGGAAGTTGCTGTCCAACTTCCACTGGCCTGTGTGTCTGTCCTGTGTTGCAAGAAGAGAGGGTGGAAAGCGGGCTGGTGAGAAGTGAGAGGCGGCATGGCGTTGCTGGGCTGGCGAGATGTCTGCTGGCGCTGTTGGCTGCTGTCCAGGGTGGGTCTTGCTTACTTTTTGGTGTCATGGCTCCAGCCAGTTGTATAGAGATCAGATAAAGCCTTTTCAGGTAGATGGAGGCCAGGTTGGAGTCTGGACACTTGTCTCTTTCCTATTGGGGGGTCTTATGACAAGGGGAGGAAGAACCCCATTGTCCCCAGCACCCAGACACTTCACTCCCTGGCCGTTCCTCAGCCCTTTACCACCCAATATAAGCACCTTCTCTGTCCACTTTGGTGATCTCAAGGTTGCAAAGAAATCAAAAGTAGCTCTTCTTCTTTAAAGACATTGAGAGAGAGGAAGGGAGAGAGAGAAATATTGATTTGTTGTTCCGCTTATTTATGCATTCGTTAGTTGATTCCTGTGTGTGCCCTGACCAGCGATTGAACCCGCAACCTTGGTGTGTGAGGAAGATGCTCTAACCAGAGGACTACCCAGCCAGGGAAGTGGTCTTCTTTCTGAAATGTGGGCTCCTCTAATTCATATGTGTGGCATAGCTCACCCTTACAGTGATCCTTTCCCTCCTCTGCTGGCCACCAGCCCGTTCTTGCCTCTGAGGTGACTGAACTCTACATTTCAAAGTTGACACTCAGCTTAAGTTTTCCGTCTCCAAAGACATTTTTATTTAGAAAACACTTACAAGTAAAGAGGTGTAAGATTTTCATTTTTCAAAAGATACTTTTAATAAAGTAAAATTCAT